GATATCGGAACACAACGCAATGTTACATCCTACTGAGGAAACTGAAAAAAAGATTTCCTTTGAAGGGGAATGGAGGAATATTAGCAATAAGGATGAATTTGAAATCAGAAAAATATACAACATAATATATAGCTAATTTAGGTAATGTAGGCATATAGTTGACACTTAACAGATTAAAACTTTAACAAAATCAAAACTCACAAGAAGCATGGCACGGATCGAAAGGATCGATAGCCAAGTCGAAAAGTGGGGTAGTAAAAGTCACCGACCAAATTTTCTCTCCATTATCCGTATTCCAGAGGATTAAGCAATCGCCAGAATGAAGTGATAGGAGAAAATCGCGGCTCATATCTTTCCATACAAACCATTTCATATCTAAAAACAAACCAATCTCTAAACTACAAGGTGTACAAGGTATGCAAATAGACGAGATCGAGCTTACTGAGCACGTTGGAAGCTGCATTTGAGAATTGGCATCTTTTTGAAGCTGAGATTGGCTCAGAAATTATGATCTGTCCACTAATATCCGATGACGCGATCCGATAATCCTCTGAGCGAGATTGTTCAATGAACGAGAACGGAGGTGACCAGCACACCTAAATAGACTTCAATTAAATAGCAAGGGATGGGAATCAAGGATTTAAAAACAAAGAAAACTCACATGGTCGACGGCCGTGCTATGTAGATCTATAGTTTGCACACGTTTAAAAGTGAATGCATCGATGATAAACAGCAGGTTATGCGAACCATAAACAATTGCACCCCTGGTGTTCCTAAGAAAAGAATGTCAAAATTTCCATGCAGTTAACAGTCTATTCAACAAAAAAGAAAAGGGATAATCTTTAAACGTTCAGAAACATGGATTCTATTGAAAAAGAACTTACCAATCTATAGTATTTCGATTACTCGGGTGTAGACCACCTGGTAAAGTGTTCGGCATTTCACAACGATGTGGTGGTGGTTCGGGACATGAGTTCTCCTGAGAATTCATGATTTGTAGTGGAATAGGAATAAAGAAGTGAATGGTTTATTCGACACGCGGCCATCTCTGATCTGACTCACGGATAAACGATCAATGAATTGTATGACACTGATAGTTGGGACTTCCTTGCTAACTCCTGGCAGTTTATATTTTGATTTCTTAATTTGCGGTTTATTATCTCCTTACTCGTTAGCTTGTATATAAGCCACCGTTCCAAAACATTATATTTGAATGTAACTTATGATTGAAGCTTGCCAATTTCTCAAAAACGTGTGCCATTTTTCCGCTAAGACTGGAAATTTCAATAAGATGGGGTTTTTAGGCACTGTTAGAGGTAAGTGAGAATTACAAGCGATAATGCTCCTTATCATATATTCCATAATTCCAATATCTTCAGAAATTCTGTCTAAATCTGACAATGAGATTTCAAGACGGTTCAAAAAGTATTATGCAATTTATAGAAAAAAATCATTCCCAGAACTTGCTTAACAAATAGGAAAATATGATATTTACAGCGCAATATTAGAACTAATAAGGCAATAAATTCAATAAGAATTAGAAAGAATTAGCTAGTGATAAATAGGATGAAAGAGCTGTTGAAGTATCAGGAGCTTACCAAATCTAAAAGAAAATACGAAAAAAGAGCATACACTTCCCTCCATTATTTATTTCTTGCAAAAAGCCAAATTTTAAACAATAATAGCAAAGGGTAATGCAGATAGCAATATTTAAATGAAAGTTACCGAAATGGGTAGAGGTGCGCTATCACAAAGTGCAATGCTAATGAAAAGACCTGAAGCTCTGGCTTCTTCCAAATTTACTGTTATGATGAGATGTTGAATAGTTCCAGTAGGCTATTCTCTGAATCACGTTGATAAATCCAGATTATACTGGAAGACGTCAAAATCTCGTATATTGAGGAAAAGAAATTGGCGATAAATCACTTTAAAGATTTACAAATATCGGTTTGCAAGCAATTTGAAAGACTGATGTATTCAAAAGTTTTCTTATTAGGTGAAAAGAA